TATAATCTCAAAGATGACCTCTGGCTTATTCTCTGATATTTGCTGTATTTACCTCAAATACCCTGAAGAATTTACCTTACATTCAACTTCTTCCAGGAAATTCTTTGCTCCAGCCCTGATATATTCTGATGTGTTCTCTTCTGAACTACAGGGCACCATTGGGTATCCTCTCAGTCGTTTAAACAATTATGTTTATCTTTCCAGATAAACTTGGAGTTCCTTAAGGTGCAAACCTTATTTCACTTCTAACAGCCACCAAGCATATGGTCATGTTGAAGTTTGGATACTTTAAATCCTATGACATAAAGCCCTGCTGTAGCCCTTGGTGGGATCATCCTCTAAGACGTGTTGAGGGTGATCTGTCATGTGATGGTCATTGTCTGCATGTAAGCACACCTCGAGCCTGGTGCTCAGCTAAGAACAGCCCATAGGTCATCTGAATCTCAGTGTAACTGAGATGAAAATAAAAAAGCTGAGTGATTAAGTGGCCTAAGAGACAGACTGAGTAGCCAAGTTTTAAACTGAAGCCTATCTGAATTTGGAAATTTCTATTTACTAGCTAAGAGTTTTGTTCTGTCAAAGCCCTAAACAAATATATCTGCTAGCCATCATTTTCCAAAATATAGTTGAACTTGTGCTAATTCCTTTTCATTTTAATTAACTCAGTTATACTATGTTAGTAACATTATTGTGAGTGTGATCACTAGCTCACATTTATTATGACCTCTTATTTATAGTAGGCTGGGCCCTGTCGCCAACTTTTGCAGATATTGGGTCAGATTCTTTTTGGTTGACTGGGAAGAGGTCACTCTGACTCAGGGCAGTAGCGAATTGCTCATGATCACATTTGTGAAGAATGGAGCTGGTCTATGTGGTGTCCGACTTGAGTTCTTAAGTTCAATGCTGACCTTCTCTGAGTAAAACAAAAACTTGAAAGTAATAATTATGAAAATAAAATGTGGAATTTTTCCATATGTCCTAATCTCTTTCATCTAGGATTTTCCATTCCTCGGTTTATGTGAAATTCCCTGTTTAAAGTATGACCCTCTCAGATACTTCAGATACCTGGAGCTCTCCCAGGACCAGAATACTTACATGAGGGGCTGTGGGTTTCTTTGTTGCTTTTTCTGTGATTTCATTGAAATGAAGGACCTGGAAGAGACAGGACCTGGATCAAGACAACTTCATTTAAAAGATCTGTGAATTCAGAGTAGAGGAAAAGAGAACAAAACCCTCAAAAGAGAAGAGAATAAAGAAGCATAAAGACACTAAAAGCACCCAACCCCAGAACTTCAGGGTATGAATGTGTTCTTTGAGACAACACATAAAAGCTGGTTAATCTCCCGATACATTGAAGAATGTGCCTTCGTTCTTCATTGGGGAGACCTTTGGTGATGGGTCCCTTGGATTTGGTTTAGTCAGCCCTTCACTTCGTCTTCTCAGCTCTGGTTGATGGGCAGTGGTGGGGGTCATCAAGAGAGGGCAGCCTTGGGGAGGGGGTGTCTCCCCAACACTCTGTGATCACACAGCCCTGGAAAGTCTGCTTGGCATCTTGTGTTACCCCCAGGTCCCCAGAGCTATGACCGTCCCTGTGTGTGAGCCAGCCCAGTGAAGAGGAAGGCTGGGCAGGTCCTGCGGGGCAGCTGAGGCCTACCTTCTCCATCTGCAGGGCAGTGTTCCCCCTGGCCCCTAGGTCGAGCATGGCCATTGCTGACAGGATGCTGACCGGGGAGTAGAAGACGTTGTCCCCATCCTTCCTCAGCTGCCGGAACAGGTCAAGGGTGAACTTGGTGTTGGCCACACTGAGTGAACTCATGGCGACTGGTTGGTCGGGAACTCCTAGGAAAGCAGTGGATCCAGCTCAGAAGGACTTTATTGTCATGAAATTTTCTTTAAAAATGACTTATCTGGGTTGTGGGATTCTGGTCATTAAGGTTTTTACCCTTTTTACCTTCCAAGCCTTCTGAATGCACGTGTTCCTCTTCTAATTAGAAGACTCAGGAAAGCACTATTGAAAAAGACTTTTGTGGACAAGTAATAGAACATCTTTATCTTTCCTGTGTCTTTCCCTTATCATTGGATGGCTAGGTTTGGGGGGAAAGGCTTTATTCCAAATGCCAGGACAAGGTTTTCTGAGGCCAACATGCAGCCAGGTTTCCAGAAGAAACTCTCTGACTTTTCTTTGAAGCTCTGAGGCTGACCACCTCCCTCCCCACACATGATTGTAAGCATGCATCAGTTTTCTGGGAAATATGTCTTTTTAAGTAAAGAGCAAATTAGGTCAAGGGGGTTTGTTAATTTTTTCCCCTGGCAGAACAAGTACAATATAATAAGACAAAGTACATGCATGATAGAAACCACGTCACTGTTTTGAGCCTCGATAGTAATTCCTGCTAAGCCGTAGTGGCTGGAAGCACTCACCTGTGTTCCTGAAGAAGCCGAGCTGGATGGGAGCTATGAGCCTTGATGTGGTGGACGGAAGATCCTGGGTATATAGTCCTCCTCCTGCAAACGCTGCCTCATCAATTCAGTTGTCTTTCAAGTAAATCAACTTCAGATTTCTCAATCAGCTTAGCCCACACTTCCTGAGCCTGACAACTTATGAGAAAAGACAGGTTAGGACAGTAACCTGTGTTTCCTTTTTCTTTTTGTGGGGACAGTTAAGAATCTGTAATCTTTGGCAATCATTGACTCATTTTGAATGCATGCAAAGGTGCTTTTCTAATACCAATGACGTTGTATTAGATATCCCAACTTCCTCATTGTCTTCAATTCCATCCTCTGTATATTTCCCCAACCTTAAAAAACAATCTTTTTTTTCTTTTGATGTTGAATTGTTTTTAAGGTACACTTTGGACACACAAACACCTACATTGTTTACTTATATTTGTGATTTTTCAATTCTGAAAGGCTCCACTCATCCTTTCTGTAGGAATCACTTTATATACCCAGGAAAATTGATCTTATTCGTGTGCAAACAGGCACTGGGGAGGTCTCTGCAGACTCGGGAACAGGGTCCTACCCTCATGCTCATTCCAGACCCTCATGCTCTGCCTTGTCCCTGGTTCTCCCTGTCTCTTCCCATGTCCCCTGCAGCCATCCTGACTTTTCTTATGCTTGAGGTCTGTGAGGACGGTTATTTGCCTTGCTACATTGACAAGCTGCCCACAGTAAGAAGGATCGAAACAAACAGAGGCTGTTTTAAACAGTAGTCTTCTAATTTCTCATATGCAGTCAAACAGAAAAATAACTTGTTTGGGGTGTCATGATGAGACTATAGCTCTGTCCCCCCTTCCCTACTTGACCCCCCCCCTGGAAGTTAGCACACTGGCTTCACACTCATGGGCTGGATGCCAGGTGGAATACCTGTCAGAAATACCAGGTGGAGGTGTCCTTTGGATGCTGTTGTTATGTGCATTTTCCTCTGGAGCCTCGTCCTCTGCAGATGCGTGGGGTTCCTGCAAGCAGACTAACGTCGATGATGGCTGGCTTTTGTTGGGTCAGAAGGTATTTTCACTTACACCTTACAACTCAGTAAAGTAGGTCCATTTGCTATCCCCATTTCACGCCGAGAAACTGAGACAACTGTTGGACTAAGTTACGTAGCTAGTGAATTGCACAGGTGAGATTTGAAGGCAGGTAGTCTGGCTGAGGAACCGTATTCGTCCATCGTCCATTGCATATGAGCTAGGAGAGAATGGTGGGGTACATCCTGAGACCACCAGGAACATGGCATGTGGGGAAATGAGTGCTGATGGAAGAGATGATTTCCATTGAATGTGGAGCTCAGAGAGACAATAAATTCCTGCTCAATTGTGTTAATCCGTTTTTCATCCCTATAATTAAATATTTGACACAGGCTACTTATAGGCTAGGGGAGTTTCTATTGGCTTATAGTTCTAAAGATCCAAGCCCCAGGTAGGTTGGCACATTTGTTTGGGCCTCTGGAGAGGGCAGAACATCACTATAGGGACATGTGTTAGAGAAGATCACTCATCTTGTAAGTTGGGATGTAGAGAGAGGAAGAGACTGGGGTCCCACAGTCCCACTGAGAGCATGTCACCAACTGTCTAAGGAACTGCAGTAAAGGCCCACATGTTAAATCCCCGAAGCACCTCCCAATACCACCAGCTTGGGGGTCCAACATTTTATTTATGTACCTTTGAGGGCCATTCAACATCTGGATTATACACAATGATTCTTACCCAAAACTGCTCTATCAAGTTGGAATTCAGAAGAAATGAGAACTTTTGAGATAAAAAAGTTAGGGGGTAAAAGAAATAATGTTTTCACTGGACTGAACTCTGTGCCTGAGGGATGTATGAGGCTAGGGGTGAGCCATTGTCCCCCGTAGATCTGGCTAAATGACCACAGGGAAGGGGCTTCTTGTTCTGAGGAACCATTTCTCACAGACATATAATGCATAGACCATAAGACTCACCATCTTAGACTACAGTTCACTGATATTTTTAGTATGATCAAAAAGTGATGGAATCGTCATCACCATCTCATTCCACAATCCTTTCATCATCTCTTAATGAAAACCCGTTATTTCATTCTGGTTTGCAGGGTCTGAGCTCCCTCCTGCATCTACTGATTTGCCTGTTTCAAATGTTGCAAATAAATGGAAAGAGGCAATATTTGTCTTCTAGTGACTGACTTCTTCCACTTGGTATATTTTCAAGGTTCCTCCATGTTGTGGTATGGGTGAGTGCATCATTCCTTTTTATGACTGAACAATATTCCTTGGTATGAATAGACTATGTTTTCTTTATCCATTCATCATTGATGGGGATTTGGATTGTTTTTATTTTTTGGTTGTTATGAATAATGCGGCTTTGGTTGTTCATGGATACCTGTGTTTGGTGTAGCATGTCTTCATTTTTTTGGGGGGTGTCTGTACACCTACAAGTGGAATCAGTGGGTCATTTGGTAATTCTGCTTAAACATTTTGAGGAAATGCCAAGAGAAGCTTTTTTGGGTCTTTTTACCAATGTGTGTGAATCCCCAAGGAGGTTGTGAAATACAAATTCCCTGAGTTGAGTTTGAGGCATGGTCTTATGGATTGTTGGTGAACTAAGGATTTGTCCAATGAAAGAAGCAAAAGAAATGATAAGATGTCGAGATGAAGAATTCCACACATGAAGAATGTGGTCTTCTCGGCTGAGCCTTTACCATGGCTACAGCCACAAGACAGCAGTGACCTTTCCTCTATGGAGCAGGAGGGGGTCACTTGGATTCCACAGGGAAACAGCATTATCTTCCCTGTGGGACAGAACAGGAAGCTCATCCTGGAGGTGGAAAGGACGAGTAGAAGGAAAACCTAAGGCAGACCGAGGTTCCAGGTGGGCAATCTTTGGAAGATGACTTTAGACATAAGCTGAATGCTTTTGAGATGAGGGGTTTGTTATGAAGAGATTAACTTTGAAGAAATGTTACTAACTGATAATGTCTAGGAGATTGCCTAAATTGAGACAGAGCTGGGATTAGTTTAAATGAGAAATCATTCCATGCTTTTCTTCTGTTTCTGAGAAGTGCTCCTGGCATGGGACAGGATTGTCAAGGAGATGCATAAATCCTCAGGATGTTTTGAATGTGAACCCTTGCCAGTTTATGTTGTTGATATTTAATAAAGCTATGCCAATTTCATTGGTTCTGGGAATCAAGCAATAAAATGAAATATATAGGAATTTGTTCTTTCAGGAAGCATCCTGCTATTACCAATGCCTTTACAGGTTGGTGACGAAGTATCTCCTAGATTTTCCAGAAATTTACCTCTTGGCACAGTGTGTGAAATATTCTCAGCATTGTTAAGTTGCCAATAAATCAGAGCAATCCTTTTATTACTTCCTTCTTCCCAAGGATGTGCCCAGGCCTGTCTACAGGGAAGTAGTTAGTGGGGAAGATTCTCCAAGCATCAAGTTATAGAGTATGAGCCGGTTACTGTGTTTCCTAGGCTCTCCCTGCAGACATAGGTATAGATAGGTATGTGCTGAATAACTTCAGAGCAAGAGTGATTGGCTTTCCTTTTTAGTTTCCACAGAGGAAAAATAACCCCAGTAAGTTTAAAAAGAAGTTGGGCAAGGAGCCTCCTAGGTAAGCCCATCATGGAATGCAGACGGAACTGCACCATCTCCCCGTCCTCCTCTCTTCCTTCTGCAGCAACACCCAAGACAGACTTGTCCTCTCTGTTTTCAAGCTAATCTCACCTTTTTCTTCACTGATCTCTTATGAGTCCCTCCCTGATCCTCTTGACACCCTTGATGTATTGCCGGCCATTCTAGAATGTCGCCTTCCTCTTTGTTTTCTCTGAGATGGATTTCCTCCCTGCCTGGATCTCCCTTCATCTTTTCTCATGAGTCCTGCTCACCCCACTGTCCATTCACCGTGCACACAGGAACTGTGGCCTTCTCTTGTACTTCCACGCCTGTTCTGACCACTGTCCTCTCCCTTTCAGGGTCCAGTCTTAATTTCCTGGCCATCAAGGACACACCATGGACCCCTTGCCATCCCCCATGTGCCTCCTTAACATTCACCCTGTGGTCTCTTGCCTTTGAACCCCCCCTGCCTCCTGTAGTTCTATTTTTCACTTAACTGCTTTAACTACTCTGAGTGACTCCAAAGCTTTCACTTGATTGATGACCAATGGCATCTCACTCTTCTCTTCCTATGTGTACTTCTGTTTTCTACTTGAATTTCTTTTTTGGTGAATTGTCTTTCTTTTGCTCTTTTGTTCATGAGAATACTGGTATTTCCTTATGAATTTGAATATGCTTTTTATATAAATCAAATGTACCACACAGACCTATTGAGAATACTTTTTCCCAAAATAGCAGAATGTACATTTGTCTCAAATGAACATGGAATATCCTTGAGGATAGACCATATAAAATATCCTTGAGGATAGACCACAAAAAATTTTAATGAATAAAAAAACCCTTGAAATATCAATTATCTTTTCTGATCACAGAGGAATCAAATTAGAAATTAAAAGTAGAAAACAGGAAAACTCAAGAATATGTGGAAACTTAAACATATACTACAAAGCTATAATACTCAAACAGCATGGTGCTGGCATAAAACCAGACACATGGACCAGTGGAACAGAGTAGAAAACCCAGAGATAAACCCACATATTTACAGCCCACTGATCTTCAATAAAGGCAGCAAATATGTACATCAGAGAAAGGAAAGGCCCTTCAATACATAGTGCTGGGAAAACAATATCCATATGCAAAAGGAAGAGGCTAGATCCCTCTTTCTTACCATATACAAAGATCAACTCAAAACGGATGAAGGCCTTACATGTAAGACCCAGAAACTTCCAAATGTCCAGAGGGAAATATAGGGGAAGCGCTTTAGGTCATTGGTGTGAGCTATAAAACCCAAACACAGGCAAATGAAGCAAAAACTAACCAATGAGACTGTACCAAACCCCAAAGCTTCTGTATAGCCAAGGAATA